TTTTTATTTACCAAGAATTTATGGAGAACCATGAGAAAAGACTCCGTCTTTGAAACAATGGTTTGAAAAGAGAGAAAAGGCGATGTCAGACAGCTGGATGGATGAGGGAGGTCATGACCTCCTGGTGCTCTGCCCTTTCTGGCCGAGTCCCACTCCCAGGCTGACCTTTTCTCTCACTGCCCCAGGAGCCCCTGGAGGTGGGGCCCTGCCACCCGGGGGTTCCTGAGAGGCAGGAAGGCAGCATGCAAACTGGAAAATGGGCCTGGCATCTTCAACCTCGGGCCAGTCCGAGGATGAGGAGGCCAGCCTTGGGTAACTTGGGTCCAGATGACAGAAGGACCTCTTGACCAGGCTCAAACATTTTTGGGTCCTAGTTTGTATCAGTCAGATGGGAGGGACCTTCAGAGCTATGAGGAGAACACATTTCAAATCCTATTTTAGTCATGCCCTCAGTTTAGTCAGCCATAGAAGTGGCATGCTTTATGTTGGTCCTGCCCCTTTGTACGCGCTGTGTCTGTACTTTGTGTGTGTGTGTGTGTGTGTGTGCATGTGTGCATGCATGTGTGTGTGTGTGTGCATGTGTATGTGTGTCGGAAGGCCTTATCAGCGGTTCTCAACCTATGGGTTGCAACCCCTTTGGGGGTTGAACGACCCTTTCACAGGGGTCGCCTAAGACCATCCTGCATATCAGATATTTACATTATGATTCATAACAGTAGCAACATTACAGTTATGAAGTAGCAACGAAAATAATTTTATGGTTGGGTCACAACATGAGGAACTGTGTTAAAGGACCAGAAGGTTGAGAACCACTGCCTTAGATAATGGCTACTTCAGTTCCAATCCAGGCGAAGGCCCAGGACACAGCAGCCTCCTGAGCTGAGATGCTTTATTTTCCTTACTACCTAAGGAATACAACCCAACTTATGGAACCAGACGAGTAAGAAGCCCAGCTTCATTTCAGCCATCCCAGGAGGATCATTTAGCTGTTCAGCCTTCTCTCCATCTTAGCTTCATTGTTGCTGAAAGTGTGGGTCCCTGCAGTGCACAAAACCATGGAAACCACTGTTCTCACTCCGCGGAAGCGAAGGGACCTCAGTAAGTGGAGACGGGTGAGAGGGAAGGGAGAAGGGCAGGCACCAACACAGGAGCCAAATTTTGTTGCTCTGAGGAGTAACTGGACCCCTGCCCAGGAGATCCCTGAGCCCTGCAGAGAAAGAAATCGCAGGGGCATGAGTCATCCCTATTTTAGAAGAACACAGGGGTGCCCTAGGGACTGGGGGCCTCCCTTATCAAGAAGTAGGCACCTGAAGCACACAGTCCATGCCTGGCTAAAGTCTAGGGTCAGCTTCTGGTTTATTCTCTGTGTAACCAGTGGATTAAGTGAGAATTGACTGGAGTTGTACACTTAGAGCTCCCTTACCAAACACTGTTATCTCATAAGCTGGCTTAATGGGGCCGGCTGTCAGGGGCTTATTGGAAGTAACGGAGTACAGCACCTTTGGGAGCAGAGATCCAAAGGCGAGTGCGCAGGCAGGCCCAGGGGACCTCACACCTTGTGTGGCTCAGAAGGCGAGCCTGGGGTCCAGCTGCAACCCCACAGCGAGTGTCTACCGCCAGGAACAGGCCCAGGTCTTCCCAAGAAGGAAGGCACTCACTCCGTTTTGAAAGCATTTCTTCCATCTTTAGAGTGAATTAAGTGTTCTATTGATCTTCTATATATGTGGTCTTAGCACCGCTGAAAGAAAGCAGTTGGTTAACAGGACCAACTCAAGTTAGACTGCGAGGGTTTCAATCTTAGCTTTTCTGCTTAGTAGTTGAGTGGCTCTGTGTTATTTAACTTCTCTTTGGCTCAGTTTCCCCATCCACAGAATGGGAATAATAATGGTTCCTAACTTGCTGGGTTTCTGAGGAGACTAGATGAACTAATATGTATAAACTTCTTAGAATAGTGCCTAATGTAAGTGATTATAACGATCACTATTTTCATAGAAAAGACTTCATCCCCTTCCATAGCTTTTCCGTCCACATCATCTCTTCACTATTAACCGCAGCTACATTCACAGAGGAGATTCTGAATGGGGGAGGCAGTGTGCATGGAGGAGCTCATGTCTGTGATCAAAGGGACATTTTGAACTCTGACTTTGCTAGGGATAAGACTGTGATCTTGCACAAGCCATGTCCTCTCTTATCCACGCACGCACGTGTGTGTGTGTGTGTGTGTGTGTGTGTGTGTGTGTCTGAGAACCCTTTGCTTTGGATGCCAGGCACGCTGGAAAGGGTGATGGCTTGGGCAGAAGTTGAAGTTGCCCTCCTACAGTTGGTAATGGACTTTTTTAGGAAAGTATTACTTTATTGGCAAATTTAGGACTTTTTATTTTCCTTCCTTTGGCAGTCTTATTTTTGTGTTGGTTTCATTTTGTCCATTACCAGTAATCTCTAAACATTTTTGTCCAACAGCCTATGCCACAGGTGACCTAACTCTTTGCAATCATGTAGGCTTTGCTTAATTTCAATGTATAACTCACAATTTCCAGGCCTTGTGGGACTGAGCTTAAACTGAGGCATCTGCACTAACGCCGCATGGTCAGTGTCAGAACTGAACCGAATTGTAGGGCCCTCAGTTGGTGTCTGGAGAGTTAGAGAATCAGTTGGTGTGGAGGAACAAACATTCATTTGGTGTCAGAAATGTGAGTAAAAACAGTTCCTAATTATGCCCACCCTGTAAGAGTTATATACAGTGGTCCACAGGAATGACAAGGAGAGGCTCAGCTACTCACATCCTCCTCCCTGAGTCCGCTGCCGTTGGGTTCCTACAGATGCTCCTATGTCCTTTACAAACACTCCTTTTTAGTTTAAGCTTGTTTGGATCTAGCTGTATTCCCTAAAAATGATTTTTCTCTTTATCAAAATCAACCAGTGTCTCCTCAGTTCACACCCATTGGGACAGCTACAATCCTGAAGACAGATAATAAGCATTTTTGAGGACTCGGGGAAATCAGAACTCTCTTGCCTGCTGGGGGGATATAAAGTGGGGCAGACACTTTGGGAAGCAGCCTGGCAGTTCCCCAAAGGCTAAACACCGAGTTTCTCTATGATTCAGCAATTCTTCTACTAGATACACACCCAATAGAATTGAAAATGTATGTCCACACAAAAGCTTGTACATGTAAAACTAGCATATCCATAATAGCCAAAATGTGAAAATAACCCAAATGTCCATCACCTGATAAATGGATATATAAAATGTGGTATATCCATGCAATGAATATTAGCAATAAAAAAACACAATGAAGTACCAATAAATGCTACAACTAGGATGAACCCCGAAAATACTATGCTAGGTGAAAGAAGCCATCACAAAATATCATGTTTTATGCTTCCATGTATATGAAATGTCCGAGGTAGGTAAATCCATGAGAGAAAAATCATGGACAGGGGTACAGGGAAATGGCATGAAGTTTCTTATTGGAGTGATAAAAATGGTCTAATATTGATTGTGATGATGATGATTGTACAACTATACAACTATGTGAATATACTTATGGCTATTGAGTTGTAAACTTTAAACAGGTTAATAGTATCATATGTGAGTACTATCTCAATAAAATCGTTCCCCCAAAAGAACCCAGGAATACAAGCTTTGGATCCAGGCTGCTGTGTTCAAGTGGCTGCAGAAGCTCTGGGGCCCTGAGACAGGGTTAGGTGAAAGTACTGCATTTGGAAAACTATCCCAGGAAGCAGTCAGGAAGTAGGGAAGTGAGACAGGGAAGGAGGGAAAGCCAAAACGGGGGCCTTAATGAGCGAGTGGCAGTTGTGGGCAACTGGGACTCAGTCCTGCTGGGACCCCCTGGGAAAGCTGTGGAGAACACAATTCAGAATTGCTCTCCCACGGGATGAGCAAGCTGGGCTATTCCTATGAGTGCTGACTCCCCAGCCTGCTCCACAGAGAGGCCAAACATGCTCCCACAATTGGAGAAAGCCCACAAGAGACACAGAAACAAAGAGACAGAGAGAGAGAGAGAGAGAGAGAGAGAGAGAGAGAGAGAGAGAGAAAGAGACAGAGAAACAGAGAGAGAGAGAGAGAGAGACATCAGCTACTTGAGGTAAGAAGCAGTCAGGGTACAGGGAACAGTTCCCCAAACCTACAGGTGATGTCCAGCGTGACTGAGCAGGTACAGGCAGAGCATTGGCAGTGCCTGCTGACAGGAGCGCTACTTAACCCTCAGCCCTACACTTGGGGAGATAATAGCTCCTATTTCATATGAGTGATGTGAGGATTAATGAGTTAATGCGGTATTTACTAGTAAGAGAGTCAAACATGCCCACCTTGAATCTTTCTCTATTTTTTTTAACTTCTGACTTACCCACAATCATCCTCTTCTGCATGAGCTTCTAACAAGATAGAGAATGCATTCATCTATTAGAAGTCTCTAAAAGAAATAGAATTGTCGCTGAGAAGGATCTTCTTATTAGGCCCCCTTTGAGTTGTATTGACTTTGAATGGCTGCCTTTTGAAATACGCCATCTGTTTTGTTAGCATGTGAGAAAGATGCCCATCCCAGCATGCTCTGTTATCGGAGAATTCTGTCATCTTTCTCAGTCTTGCTGTCCTGTTTTATGGAAACGGTTGGTGGCATTCAAGCGAGAGAGGTTCATCACAGCACTCTTGTATTTTCCCGTGTCTCCTCCAGCTTTCCCAGACTGTGTTCTGAGGACGGTAGACCCTGGGGAGCTTTCTCTCTGTGAAATGTCTGCAGTCTGGGGCTTGAAGCCAGTGGCTGCGGTCCCAGGCACTTCTGAGTTCTGTTTCTGTCAAAGACATTTATACTCAACTTTTCATTGCTCGTGGGTGATTGAAGCAACCCACTGAGTGAACCGCTGGGGGGAAATAGGGTTTAAAAAACACACCAATTGTGTAACATGGGGCTCAAGCTGCCATGACTAAAACTTAATTTAAATATTTGTTCACCCAAGAAAATGTCTCTGTGTTGTTTCAGGCTGCGACTCTTCAGGTAACCTGACATTTCACCAAGCCAAAACTGTCGTGGATGCCCTCTTCACGTCGCTCCGGGATATTGCCGGGGCTCGGAGTCTCATGAAGCAGTTCAAGTCTGTATATGTTCCTGGAAACCATACCCACCAGGCAAGTACATACGTTGTAAAGTAACCATGTAATCTGTGTGGCATTTTTAGGATTCAGAGAGTATAAGAAAAATTTCCATGTTAACCTCTCTAAAATGAGGGATTTGTTCTAGATGAACTCCAAGTCCCTTTCCCGTTCAGAGTTCTGGGTTCCCCTGAATATAAATGCATTCCAAGCCTGGCAGGTGTGGCTCCATGGTTAAGCATTGACCTATGAACCAGGAGGTCACGGTTCAGTTCCCAATCAGGGCACATGCCAGGGTTGTGGGCTCGATCCCCAGTAGGGGGCATGCAGGAGGCAGCTGATCAATGATTCTCATCATTGATGTTTCTATCTCTCTCTCCCACTCCTTCCTCTCTCTAAAATTAATAAAACATTTTAAAAAAAATAAATACACAGGCAATGTCAGGCCTGATGTCCTTTAAAAAAAAAAAATCCCAATGCATTTGTACAGCAGGCTTGATGTAGTGATGTGAGGACTGAGTTGGGACAGTCGCTGTCACAGCCTTCATCTGTAACCTTAGGCAAGTCCCTTCCCTTCTTTGTCCCCAGTTACTACAGATGCCAGATGAGGGGCTGGCCTTTGGTGGTTCCCAAGTTTCTGGATCTAAGCAGTCCCATAAACATTTGAACAATTAGAATAATAAAATTATCTAATAGTATTATGGCAAAGAAAAAAAAGTTGGTGATAGCAAAAGCATTTGTTACTTGAAAGTCCCCCACTGCTCTCTAAGGAGGAGGGGGAGTGATTGATGAGTAGGAAGATGGTAAGGAATCCATGAATAAAGGAGTAATTGCTCTGTAAAAACCCAGCAGGGAGGAGCCATAGAAAGAGCCAAAGGGAAGCTTCGGGAGTGAAGGGAGACAGGAGCCCTGAGGGCGGGGCAGTCTCTGTTGGATGAGGAAGGAGACAAGCCAGGCTCCTGGTGGTCACAATGAGCTTTCAAGGAAGAGCAGGTGTCTCTGATGGAACAGGTCACTGAGCTTTGCTTGTGTGTGTGAAGGAACCTTCTCCTCCATCTCCCATGAAATCTTCACTGAAACCCACTCTATTTGCTAAGAGTTAAATGTTTTGTTAGTGAAGACTGACAACTTCAGGATGCTGGCTTTAAGGCAGGCATGTACACGAGAGCAAAGGTTACCCACTACAGCCTAGCAAAACCCACACTCCTCCCCCCTATGTTCACAGAGCAGCTGACACTGAAAGAGCACTCCTGCCTTCCGTGTTTCCTTTCAGTCTCACGACAAGTAAGCCAGAGACATATCATTATCCCTATCTAGGAAGGCCAAGGGACCTGCCACAGGCACACAGGTGACCAGGGCCAGATGCCAGGACTTTGCCGCCAATACAAAATCTCCTCCCTTACTGTACTGTGGTTCTCAGGGAGGCTATAGAAATATTGATTGATGGTGCTGACGGACATCTGAAATCACCCATCAAGATATAAAAGACCTTAGAAACTGGCACTCAACTTAGAAACCCAAGTTCCCACCCTTCATTCAGTGATCTAAAACATCTCTTCCACAAATACAGGTGCAGTCACTCAGATAATTAATTATATGCCATTTTGCTATTAAGAAATAGCAATCTTGTCCTAGCCAGTTTTGCTCAGTGGATAGAGCGTCGGCCTGTGAACTGAAAGGTCCCAGGTTCGATTCCGGTCAAGGGCACATGCCCAGGTTGTGGGCTCGATCCCCAGTGGGGGACTTGCAGGAGGCAGCCAATCGATGATTCTCTTTCAACATGGATGTTTCTATCTCTCTCTCCCTCTTCCTTCTTCTCTGAAATCAATAAAAATATATTTTAAAAATAGCAATCTTAAATACTATGGTATAGACTAGTTCCACAAGACATGATAGAACTGGTGAAATATGATAAAATTTAGACCAAAGAATGTCAAGATGTAAGTAGCTACTATAGTTGGCAAAAGGGAAAACAAACCACTAAATTAATGAGGTCTTTTCACTGTTATGATCATCATGGTGACTGATTTGGCCAATTTCACATAATTATGCATTCGATATAAATCCGGGGCATGGTAAGAACAATGATAAGCTTCCTAGACTTCATCTCCCTGCTGCCAACACTCTCATTTCTCCAGACCTCAGAGCCCTGGAAAATGAGTTTTCCCCGGTGAATGGAACATGGGGACAAAGGGCAAGCAATGTGTGTGTGTATACCTCAAGGGGATTAAATAAATAATGATGTAGAGACAGTGGAATGCTGTGCAACCATGAAAATGAATAGGATGGATCTAAGTGTCCTGAGCAGAGACTATATTTGAACCCATGTCTCAGGCCCTGCTTCTCAGAAAATTCTAACTAAAACAGAGGTGCATGATCTATTAAGTGAAAAAAATACATGTTGTAGATCATTCCATAAAGCATCATTCTATTTTGGTTAAAAAAATAATGATAAAAAGTATATGGGTATGTGTATTTAGTCAGTCTTTAAGTTTTTTGGAAAGATTTATATTGGGTACTTTGTGAGGGATGGGAAGGGTTGGATGGACAAGGAGGGCCTATGACTTCTTACTTTGTATTTACATATCTAGAGAAAACTATTTTGATGTGATTATGGGCAAATTTTACCTATTTTGGTTTTTTAATATTTTTCAGATTTAAAGAAGCTTTAACTCACAGACAGATTTTGATCTGGTTTGTTCACTACCATACCCTTAGTGACTAGAGTGGTATCTTGCACATAATAGATGCTTAATAAGTATTTGTTGGGTGCATCTTGTATGCAATGCACATATCTTTGTTACATATCAGCGGATTTGATGGGCCACAAAGTGCGTGTAATTAGAAAAGGACAAATGTTCAGACCAGAATCAGAGTCCAGTTGTGTCTAGTTTTAAAGACAGATCTTGGCCGGACAACTTTCTGTCCATTTCTCCTCCCAGTCTGGTCCTCAGTCCTGTGGCTCCAGGAAAAATGTCTGCTTTCTGTCTAGCTAGCTGAGATGTCCAGGCATCCCCAAAAGACCTGGGAGAGCTCTAGGCCTGGTCTGGCCCTGGGTTCCGGTCCAGCTCTGAGCAGCACTGCAGATCGGGCTCTCCCTGGATCTCCGGGCCCCTGCCAGCCCCTCCCTCCCAGGGCAGCCTGCACAAGCTGCCTCTCAGACACTCCTGTTTCTTTTGTTTACACTAGAGGCACCTCTGGTTTAACTTCGTCCTTTAGCCATTTAGGAAAAAGTGTCAGTCACAGCTCAGATACAGAAAGCAGACATCCCTCTCGTTGTTTTAAGGAGACTGATTTCATACAAAGAATTAAGTACATAAAATCTCTGGGCTTCCAGAAACGAGGTGAGGGGGACCGAGAGGCTGCCATGGAAGCGCCTGCCTGGAGGAGCACACCACCAGAGCTGGAGGCAGCGCGGTGCTTGCTCTCCACGCTGTCTGCAGAGCCGCGCTCAGTGCTTGCCACCCAGTGGGCCAGTGGGTGGGTGGATCCTGGACGGGGGTCTTATCCAGCATGGACGGTACTTCTTACGTTCTCCATGGTTAGTGAGAGGGAGGTTAGCACAGAGGTTAACACAGCCGTGGGCAAACTACGGCCCGCGGGCCGGATCCGGCCCGTTTGAAATGAATAAAACTAAAAAAAAAAAAAGACCATACCCTTTTATGTAATGATGTTTACTTTGAATTTATATTAGTTCACACAAACACTCCATCCATGCTTTTGTTCCGGCCCTCCGGTCCAGTTTAAGAACCCATTGTGGCCCTCGAGTCAAAAAGTTTGCCCACCCCTGGGTTAACAGAACAGTCTGAGACCCTGAGCTTTTGGATCCATAGCCCACCTTTGCCCCCCTACTAGCTCTGTGACCTTAGGCAAGTTACTTCCCCTCTCTGTGCCCGCTTCCTCCTCTTCAGGAAGGAGCTAATAACAGTCGCTCCCTATACAGATGCTCTAAGGATTAGGTGAATTCATTCACGTAAAGCTCTCCGGACAGGAGCTGACACATACCAGTAGACAGCACTATGTAAGCATTTGCTGTAAAGGACAAAATAGGCCTTCTCTTTGTCCTCTTTTGTGGCATTTCGTCTTTTCCTTTGCTAAGGAGATGGGCTACACAGAAAGTGTGACCCTCGAGCCGACTGTCCTGCTGGCTGCTGTGCGTGATAAGGGTTCATTGCTGACACCAGTGTGACTGAAAAGGTCCTGTTTGTTCGCCGACACTGTTGACTAGAAACCTAAGCCCCAGTTTTGCTTGTGCAGCGAGTCTTATGTGTTTCATTTCAAACTGTTCCAGTTTAGCGGGAGGGTCCACCTCCTCCCCAGTGCCAGGGCTCCATGTGCTGAGTTCCTCAGTAGCGGCAGCAGGAGGGTAGCAGGCATGTCTCAGGGCCAGGAGCTGGCGAGTCCTTTCGGAAAGAAATGCCGTATGGCTCTTGCATGACTTGCTTTGGCAGAGGTTTCGCAGTGCTGTGCTGTGTCAGAGAAAACTTTCCACAGATGCGTACCATCTTCTGTGCCTCTGGCATGTTGAACAAGGGCATCGCGAAGCAGCCGTGCCCAAGGAGGCTTGTTTCATCCTGTGCCTGGTGAATGTGGCTCCCCGCACAGTCTGTCGGCCCGTCTCGGTCACACCCCTGCCCTGGCCACCAGGTGCTCTTTTCCAAGTGCTGCACTCTGTTCTTCCTCCTGACTCTGCCCACCTCACCCAGACCTGCCAGCGTTCTCTCTGAAAGAATCAGCATGAGCCAGGACTAAACTGGGGTCTGGGGAACTGGCTGTCCTTTGCTGCTTCTAAATGCCTCTGTGAACTCACGCACCCTAGTTAATAGCTCTGGGCTGCGGTGTCCTCAAATTGAAATGGAAGGGACTACACTCAAAAAAATTGTAAGTGCATAATCTGCTTCTACTTTGAAGGATGGATGAATGGAAGGATGGATGGATGGAAGGATGGATGGATGGATGGATGATGAATGGATGAGCAAACCATTTTCTTTAAGAAGATGAAAGGAGAAAATATCTTAGTATAGCAAAAATTAAAA